CCTACTGATTGGGGGTGCTGGTAATCTTTGGGGGACTCTGAGAAAATTTAGGATTATGCTCTAGTCCTGACTGGAGTATTCTGTGAGGCTGGATCATCTAGCCAGCAGCCTTGATGCTGTTCTGGATGTAGAACTCAAAGGAAACTGCAACAGAGGTGCTCTGAAATGTTGGATCATCTAGGCCATCTGTTCCCATCAGAGATTTTTTTCAGGGGTACTTCTTCAATCAAACCTGAGTTTTCTTAATCCAGAATGAATCTACAGTCTTTAATTTCCTATGGAAATAAAAGCAGAACCTCTTTCCCAAAGTAACATATCTTTTGACTTAAATTTTGAAGTCACCTATTTTAAAAATATATAGGTTTGTTTAATCTAGCAGCTTTCACAATCAAATGTCTCTCAGCAGTTATCATTTGTCCATTAGCAGTCAAAAAAATCGTAAGGCAACATAATGACATACAGTAGCCAGACTCTCTGTGTATTTTCCATCTTTACATGGCTTATTGTATTTTTTATTACTCTATTTCTTTATTAAGGACTTTATTTTAAAACTATATTTTTAAATCTGTCTATCTATCTATCTATCTATCTATCTATCTATCTATCTATCTATCTATCTGTCATCTATCTATCTATCTATCTATCTATCTATCTATCTATCTGTCATCTATCTATCTATCTATCTATCTATCTATCTATCTATCTATCTATCTATCTTCTCTTTCTCCCAAGCCTATGCAATTTTTAAACACATTGTGACCTGTTTAGAGTCTCTTTTTATCTTATTTTCTCTTTGCTGTTCATCTGTGAACTTTTCTGTCTGCATGAGCAAAAATTCTTCTGTGTAACTTAGATCATGGTGTCCTGGTACTGGCTCCTCCTCCTTGGTCCCCTGAGAGTCTAGTCTCACAGTAGAGACATATTTACCATCAGCTCTGGGAGCCATGTTTACTGCCCCATGTCTGGGAAGTTTCTAGGTCCATGCCACCACCATATAGTATGCCGCTGGCTGCTCATAAACATATTATAAATGTTTGGTAGCAGGATCTCTTAAAATAGCCACCTATTTTTGCCACTAGCACCAAGCCAGAAAGCTGTCTCTTAAAGGAGGCATGTCTCTGTTCACCACAAGCAAACAGAGCCCACCAGAGAAAAGGCAGCTACCAAGAAGCCATGCTTGACTCTGTTCTTGTGTGTCTAGAATCCTTTTTTAATCTTTGTCAGGTTGTATGAGAACATTTCTGCCACATGTTAGAATGCCATATATAAACAGACGTTTCCTGTTTTGATGGCCTGTTTCCAAATACCTGATAGCCTTTTTCCAAATTACCACACAGAGGCTTATATTAGTTATAAATGCTTGGCTTATTACTAGCTAACTCTTACATTTAAATTAACCCACATTCCTATTTATGCTTTGCCACGTGGCAGTACCTTTATTAGCATGGCACATTCATCGTCTGACCCCTTTGCATCTGGCTGGTGACTCCTATCTCCACCCTTTTCTTTCCCAACATCCTTAGTTTGGTCACTCCACCTATACTCCTGCCTGGCTACTGGCCAATCAGCATTTTATTAAACCAATTCAAGTGACAGATTTTTATAGTGCACAAGAGGATGATTCTGGATAATTATCTAGATAATTAACTTTCAACAAAGATAAATTAAAGAAGATTTAAAACAAATAAGCTCCTCTAGAAGATTAGAGTTGTAATTTTGTAACACAGATATACCCTGATGAAAAAAATTTCAGAAATGAACACACAAGTACTAATTGTAAAGGAGATAAGTTAACATATTACAATTTTATTCTCACACATCTGAGGGTTAAAAGTCCAAAAGCAAAGTGTTGACAAGGGCTGGCTCCCTTTGAGGCTCACAACCCATGAGGCAAATCCTCTTCATGGAGTTGAGTCCAGGGCATGGCTAAACCCTAATGCTTAGCAGTGGTTTAGAGCAGTGAATATTTAGTAAGAGGATGAAAAAAGGGAGAAGAAGAAGGGAGGGAGTCGAAAGGAAGAATCAAGGAAGGGAGGAGAGGGAGAAATGGAGAGGGCATGATCTTCCTGAGGCGAAGACCTTCCTCCTCAAAGCAGAAAGTTCCCAAAGAAATCTTGTCTTTGTTTCATTTTATGTCTCCTGATGCCAATAAATCCATCTCAAAGCAATTTCTCAGACTCCATCACAGTCCCTGTGTGTGTGGTGTGTGGCCTAAGGGAGGAAAGCCGTTTCTGATGGAGCAGATTAATCTACTTTGTAAGCTACCAGGTAGCTTGGTTGTAGAAAAGAGTTCATTGTCTTACAAATTACTGAATTAGAAATTGAGAGTGAATTGGGGAAAAAAAAAAAAAAACAACCAACCAACCAGCCAAACAAACAAACAAACAAAATGCATATGGGAACTATTTAAACTCTATTTTTTTCTGAAAATGCCAAACTATTTTTCAAAGATAGTTAAAAGATTAAAATACGTCAGTTCCAAAAATAATCATCTATTCTTTTTTTTTATACATTTAAATTTGTTAAAGGTTTTGCATTCAAAGATGTCACAGATACTTTGAAAGAACAGCACACATGGTGGAAAGGGAGACCTGCTGGGAAGAGACTCTATGGCTGTTAGGACGAAGTTCAAAGTCCAGTACATTAACCCAGCATCCAGGTGGAACGCCCCTCTTTGTGACTGGTAATCTTTATTCTTCATCACTCTCTTGTGTATCTTCAATTCCTTAGCCCTCCTTGAAAGTACAAATATCTCATGAGTTCTTCGGCTCTGGGCTTGGACAGTCCCCCTTCCCTGCACATACCATTGTCTAAGGTTTTTCACACTTGTGATTACTTTCCTATTAACTGTCTTCTCCCATAGTGAAAGTTCATTGAACATTTTACTACTGTACCCTGGGTGTTGAACAGGGCTTTATTTCCAGTAGACGCTCAGAACCATTTGTAGGGCATGACTAGATGAGCTGACGGGACTAGAAGCATTAGCAGTGAGACACGTCAGGGCATGAGAGAGTGAGCACAGGTGGATGGGTGATGCTCCAGATGAAGATGTCAGGGTCAGAGAAGCTTTCTCATGACACTGCTCAAATGTGCTCAGAGGAAACCAATGGCATCATGGACATCAAAGACCCGGAATTTGAAGTTTGGGGTGTCAAATAGCAATTGAAAGCTCTAAGTATTGGTGCCATTGGGATCAGAAAATGTTCTAAAAATTCAAAACTGAACTCCCTGGTTAATAATGGAAGATGAGAGACAAATCAGTGGCTAATTTGCCCAGAGAAAAGTGGGAAGTGAAGTTAGAGGAACACATGCTTAACTATGTTTATAGAAGCATTATTTGTAATAGCCAGAACCTGAAAACAACTCCTCAACTAAAGAATGGATTAAGAAAATGTGGTACATATACACATTGGAGTACTACTCAGCAGAGAAAAACAATGACATCGTGAAATTTGCAGGCAAATGGATGGAACTAGAAAATCATCTATTCTTATCTTATAATGGGAACAGAATTATGGCCACCATAGGCCTTGAGAACCTGTTTCACATCTCAACCTGTTTTTTTGAGACAACCTGAGTTTACTTCCCTACCAGATTTGACCAGTTGTCCACTGTGCTGAAGCATTGGGGGGAGGAAATTTATCATTCCCAATTATTATCTTCTTGGAACCATGTGGGAACCCTCCATATCTGGTTTATGGGGGAGTGGGTACACATAAAAGAAGAAAAAAATCTCAGATCACCATATATATATATATATATATATATATATATATCCATGCATCCTTATATATGGCTAAATACATGTACACACACACATGCACACACACACACATACACACACACACACACACACACACACACACACACAAATATTGGATCTGCTTTAATGCCATATAAGGCACACCATGCTCCTTTGGGAATGTTGAAAGTAGGATGACAGCATTTTTTATCCAGAAAAATTCCCTATATTTCTCCATCACCCCCTCCCCTCTAGGCTAGATGAAAATAGTATTCAATTTCATCCTTATCTACAGTAAGGTAGAAGCAAGGACATCAACTGGATACCAGTGGGAGTGTGATTCAGTGGGCTAGGGATTGTCATTGGCTTTGTGGGTGCATAGGAAAACAAAAGGCTAGGAAATAAGAATTACTAGGTATGGAAAGCATGAAGGTGTTTTGAAGATTAAGGCACAGAGCACAATGAAGCTATTAGTGGAGGAAGAATCAGCATGGTTTGATGGAGTAAAAACTATTCTGGCATCCATGTGTCTTGGATATTTGATTTTACTATTGCCTGGTTCCCTGGCATCTGCTGAGTCTCCTAGCAGAAGATACAAGGAAAGTGATTTGGGCTCTGGGATCCAGCACCCTTTAAGACACTACAAAACTCTTTTTACGTGCAGCTTTGGTGAAGCTTCCATATAGCTCCGTTGTAAGAAGAGCCTGAGTATGCCATGGACAACTGGAATATTGAGGACTTGAGAGGTAAAGGACTTGATCAAGGTTGTTCATTCATCTTGCAAGGACCATGGTCACATATTCTACCCCAGGCTATGCACTGAAAATAGGAGTTCAGTGGTGAACATGATAGAAAAAAATTCTGTCATCATCAGTATTCAAAAGACAGATACCTTGTGTGTACACAAACAAAAATAATTTTATGGCATGGCTGTTGCCATGGAAACCATAAATGATGGGACATGATGAAGAATGCTTAGAGGTTTGCTGCAGATGCTGTGATATGGAAGGCCTCACAATAGATGTGACACTGGAGCTGAGAACATTTGAGTAGCTGGGGTTTATGGCAACTTGAACAGAATGTTTCTGAGAGGGGACTGTAAGTAGAAAGGTCTGGGTGGGAGTAGAAAGAAGGCCCGTACAACAGGGAAAAGGAGCTGACAGGCTTCTCCCTGATCAGAAAAGCAGAAACAGCAGACATATGTAGATAAGAATCCTGGAAATTCGACCTGGCACCCACTGAACATTCTGTAAAGCTGCTACTTTTTCATGGGAGTCTCCAATTCAGCAGAATGGGCAGCTGGGATGAAATAGGACATGAAGAGGGAGGAGCGATGACATCCCTCACCAGCAGGGGGAGATGGCAGCACTTGCTGTGGATTACACACGTGGACCCAGGATTTCAAGTCACTAAAGGAGGAGACACAATTGGAGTTAGAGCTGCCAGCATGTCACCTAAGTGAAGCAGAATAGTGGCATATGTATGTGAGCTGTCACAGCAGTTGGCTGTGTAGCTAGTGTTATGAAATGTCCCCTCCCACAGCCTCGTGTATGCAGGGCCTGGTTGCTTGCTGATGAGCTTTGGGGCAACCAGGGCTCTGACATAATCAGTGATTCCATCTCTTTTGTGTGTGGGTGCACATATGTGTGAGATTGACCAGATTCATGCATATATATATATATATATATATATATATATATATACTCATCCCCTGGCCTCTCTCTCTCTACACATACACACACACACACACACACACACACACACACACACACACACACACACA